TATAACTTTAACAATTTAACAATACAAACAATAATACTTATTGTTAGAAAAAATATTGTGTCATAGACACAACAGCACAACACGGCCGTAATGGCCACAAGTGGCCACAGCCACAGCCACAGGCCGTCACATTGTCACAAGTAGCCGCAAGTAACAGGAGGGATGAGAAGGTAGAAAAAAAGTGATGAGAAAAGTGCAAATATATTTATTCAATAATAATTATAAAAGCAGATTGTAGTATATAACAAATGTTTCGTACATAAATTCTATAATTTCATTTTATCTATTTAAATTAGAGGAAATTTCCTCTGTATTGTGTACATACATAAAGTTGAATTGTGGCAAAATACACGTGAAGGTACGTTCACAATGATTGTCAAGAACGAATTTATTTAGGAAAGCACAACTTTCAGCCAATAGCAAAATGTATTCCATGCTCTTCTAAGCGTTCGTGATTGGTTGTTCTAATGAATCTCACGAATTTCCCGCTTTTAGAATGCTTCAGAAGCGTAATGGAACATTTCACGAATATAAATAATATATTGTGCGTTGTGTCTTGTTTGTTTTATTGTAATTTAAGGTAATTTTGTGTGATCTTTGTTAATACGATTTGGATAATTTTATTCATCGATTAAAAGTGTGCCTTAGAAAAATGTTAGATATACCGTGAAACAGTTGTGAAAAGATTTATTAAAGATCTTTGTGAAGACGTATGCTGCAATTAACAATTTTTAGTGAAGTGATGTGAAATTTAGCATATTAAGGAGTGTTATACATAGATTATTTTAAGACATACTTTCAATTCTTGTTTTATGTTTCGTTCAGAAATTATCAGTTACTGTGATCGTAGAACGTAGTAATGTCATAAAAAAATAAGGTTAGGTACGAATTGTAAATTGTAGATACATTATAATCCCTTAGTATATTACATCGTTTATATGATAAAAGTGTTTAATTAAATCAATGAAATCGAAGAAAACTTATAATGCAGGTGGTTTAAGAACACTTTCCTGCAAGAATTTGACAATTTGTGCATCGTTCAGTGTACGTACTAGGCACACATCTCTAATATCTTCGTGATATGTTTCTTCCTTGGCCACTACAAGAAATATAAAAATGTTAGTAAGAAAACAAGCATTTCTTACGATAGATAATTATTTGAAAAAGCAATAACTCATGTTTATGTTCTCAACACTCTATAGGGCAGATCGAGATTATGATATGGGCCCAGCTACCGAACTGATGGTAAATGATTTTGATGATGAGCGGACTCTAGACGAAGAAGAAGCATTAGAAGGTAGTGAAGATTCTCACAACGAGTTGTCCAACTTGCAAAAGGTATAACTCTGAGGCGGTTAAGCTAAACTATCTAAAGTATACGATGTTCACTTTTGTAACAAGATTCTGATCCCAACTATTCTAGGATCAAGCCTGAGAAATGAAAAAATCAAGCCCATAAATAATTACAATTATGATAAGTTTCTACAACACTTTGGACTCAAAGTGCGTTCTCGTAGTGAGATTCGTATGTTTAATCGGTTTGTTGTATGTGGCTTCAGTAATCATTTGTGTTCTTGTCTTATTTCAGGAAGGTGATATGCCACTAAAAGATCTGCTTGCGATGTATGGATACGGGGATCCGTCAACGGAAAACTCGAACAGTTCGGATCGATTGTTGATTCCATCTGGAAACGGTGACCCAGAAGTTGAGGGCCAGTATTCGGATAAAGGAGATAATGACGCAGACGACGATGAGGACGACGATGAAGCAGATACAACCAGTAACGAGCCGGACCTTAAGCAATTTTATACAGAAATGTTGGTAAAAGGAAAGGATTCTACGTCTCTGGTGTCGGGATCAACGATGAAAGGGAGTAATGCGGGCAACGTAGTTACTGGGGACAATAGTAGGCGTTATAGAATCCACGATGACGATGATGACGACGAAGAAGGTGAAACTGAGGAATGTTCCATGATCGATGGTTGTAGTAACAGTGAGAACACGAGAACGGCATCAACGATGAGTGGTACCGGTACTGCTAAGTGCGGTGGTATAACCGCGCTTGCTGGCTGTACGACAAATGATAATACCGTCTGCGGAGTGGAAAGTGGTGTGAGCAGTGGTACAGTAGATTGCGGAGAAGATGGAATAGTTAGTGGTGCTATAGGCAGCGCTACGTCAAGATTATTGCGAAGTGTTTCACGACCGCAGAGCGAAGAAGAGGAAGACGATTGTGATTATAGTCCAGATGAGGAAGAATGGAAGAAGACAATCATGGTTGGTATTAATTATCAAGCGGCTATACCAGAAGGTCTTTGCCATTACGATGACGCCTTACCATACGAAAACGAGGATAAGATGTTATGGGATCCAAGTCACATACCTGAGGAACAGACTGAAGAGTTTCTCGAACGAGCACAGTTGCCAGCTGTGAAAGGTGGCTCTCTACCTACAGGATCTCATATCAGAGACGACGAACAAGCTTTATACCTATTATTACAATGCGGTTACAATCTCGAAGAGGCACTGAGAAGACGCAGAATGAATGTCGTGCCGCCAACAGATGCAGTTAGTCTTTGGTCAGAGGAAGAGTGTCACAATTTCGAATCTGGAATGCGAATATGGAACAAAGATTTCCATCTCATACAGAAGAATAAGGTATGCATCACCTAACATCTCTAACTATGGATGTAGCAAGAAACGATTGTACGTAACATAAGGGTCATCGTAACAGGTTCGAACGCGATCCGTTGGCGAACTGGTGCAATTTTATTACCTTTGGAAGAAAACGGAACGTCACGATATATTTACTTACAAGGCTCGCATGGAAAAGAGGAAGTACGCTTTACATCCTGGCATCACGTGAGTATTTTCTCTATTTTTTCTGCGGCAAGCGTACTGCGAATTCATTTATCGAAAGTTGCGCAATCATAGCTTTCGTTGTATTACATCTCTCGTCTCATTATCGAAAATTTGAAGTATGACAAGATTTTTGAATCGTAAGCAGGGACTATATGGACCGATTCCTGGAGGAGCAGGAGGGTGTTCGTGACCGTAGTAGTTCACCGAACGTTCATTGCCTATTGTATGGTGATGCGAAAAGGCAAAGAACGACGGCTACCGCACCGAACAACGAGGAAGCAAAGTCGGAACCGTGGGACGGTGCAACCATTGATCCTTTGGCAGACATGAATGGACCAACACCAGGTCCTCCACCACCACCGTTTCCTCCACCACCACCACCTGCGCCGACCACCGCGATCGTATCACCTTCAAGTTCTGTCGCAACCACATTGTCAACTCCTATATATTGTACCACATCGACACGTCATTCCGATAGCTCACCGTCCGACTCTAGTTATGCCAATCCGCATCCGTGGTCGAATTTGACATCACGCAGTCACGTTACTTCCAACATCGGGACGACGGTTACAATAAACACAACAACAACAACCAGTACGGTTCCAACGGTCACGGTCCCTGGTATTACGAGTACAGCTACAACCACCTCTTCTGTCATTTCCAGTAACAATTTTTACAATTCACGAGTGACGCCGAGAAACAACAACGTACACGATTCACCATCACCGGAGAACATTTTACCTCATCTGCCCCCTTAGCGTCGAATCCGACCTTCAGGTTTTCAGCCTGGAAGGCGTCCGATGTCTGTGCGCGATATGTTCTACTTAACGCTCGCGTCATCACTATCATCGTAACGTATAATATTCGTTAATATCACGGATTATATTTTTATACTGTATCGTAATATAATTGTCGATTGCTATAGGGGAAATAAGAGAAATTGTTCGCGAAACCGAAATTAAAAGAAATAATATAGCAATGATTAATCGGAGGGAACAGTTGAACAGAGAGTACATGACACGTGAATGCAAAAATAACTAGAGCTTTTCCATTTTCTGCTTTTCTGTCTTGCGATAGCTATCTATTGTTCCTGTAGACAAAGATTATAATGAAACACGAGTTCAAATTGTCGAAATTTCCAGAGTTAGAAATAATTAAGTGTTATCCAACTGGAAAAATAATGAATTACATTCACAGACTTGTAGCACGAATAAAAGATAATTCCGCTCTTGTTTCAAGCACATGTCCGATTGCTAGTACTACTAACGATAAGTGTACAAGAAACAAAAATGCGATTTAAGATTCCGGCAATTTTTCCAAATGATTAAATTAAACGAAATTCGATGAAAATTGTATTGTCTCCTTTTCGTATCTTCATCAAATTTTAAATAGCGTATTACCCTCGCACCTAATTTTTTATGGTTTAGATATACTTAAAATGCAGGATTATAATAAAAAATACATTACTTTATTGTGAATTTCAAGGATAAATATTTGTAAACTGTTTTGTACAGTGAAAATTTCTTCCGTTTCTTTCTTCTTTTATGCATTCATTACAATTTGATGTTTTTAGCCATACTGAGTGAGATCTAAAGATTCCACCACAGTTTTCAGTAATTTTCCCATTAAAGGCAAAAATTGAATACTACTAATGTTAGTCGTGAATCTTCCCGTTGTAAATACATTCTCTTCGAATATTTTCGCTAGCTTTTTCCTTAACCTTGCTGGTAATACGGGCTGACTCGAGTCAGCCGTTTGCTGAACAGTTCTCACGCTTTTAGCGTCGGCATTGATCAATGATCCTTTAACTTGCCAATCGTCAGGAGTACCCCGATGTTCGAGGAAATCGAAGAAAACACCTAACTCTGTCACTGTTTCACGTGCTATCAACTGACGATCTCGAAGAGCTATCCTTGGACTCCTAACTCCCTCCAGAGCTTGACACAGAATCAGTACCAGATTAACTTCAAGAGCAAACCTCGTGTTGTTCTCGTCCATAGATTCGAACCAAGGATCGCTAAACCTTTGGTACTTCGCTACTATGGGACTGTCACTGCTTCCGGCGCTTTTCGTTACGTGTCTACCACTCGTCAAAGCTGTTGCCCTTGACAAGATAGTGTTCTCGCAAATGAGTGGATCGTAAGGTCTTCGCACGAGTCTGGGACTACTCAATAACGGTACTGTCACGTCTAATCCGCTAACGTACACCAAAAACTCGCTTCCCACATTGGACGAGGACCTCGAAGTGGAACCGGACGCTGCATGAATGATCCTCCTTAAATCCTTGCTCGAATGCATTCGTCGATCCTCCGGTGCAGCGTGCTCCCATTCCTTTTTTGCAGAATCCGTCTTGTTCGTTTGCTCGCTGGAGGAAGCGGACGAAGTGCTCACAGGTTGAGATCGTGAATGCAAAGCCTGAGTAAACAACTGCGTCGAACTGATAATGGTACCATAAGTTAATCTTGGACCTGAGTTCATGCTCATTTGTGGAGGTCCGAAATTCATTTCCGCCATTGGAGTATACCAGAAGTCTTGCGTGTATATGGTGTCCACGAGGGTATTAAGTCTTGGCGAAAAGTGAACGAAACTCAGAGCGCAAGTTGTATTTATGATGATCAGTTTATTAACTAACAACCTTAGCTCACCGCTCGGCGACCTTTTGTCGCAAGATTCCAATTCTTCGGCACTTTCCATGCTGATACCATCAATAATGAACTTGAGGATCCGCGGTCGCAACAATAGATTCACGGTATTATCGTATGCTAGATACATACATTTGATTAGAGTCTCGCAGACGTTTGGTTGTATCGAATTCCAAACATACGGTTGCGTTGCCATAATGTGGATCAGCGCAACAAGAGACTGTACCAGATCAGCCGCATAAATATCCGCTGTGTGTCTTAATAAGGTCGATGCGACCATCAATTGATACTCGTGAGAATTCAAGAACACTATAATGGACTTCATATAAATAGCGGGCGTTTCCCTGGTGACGAGTCCTATTAAGAACTCGAGACCGAGCGTATAAAGCGGCCACCAATCCTGACATCGCCACTGTCTGGTCGTACAATCGTCGTACAACGAGTCTAGCATACTGTTCCCGATGTCGTTAGGTGGTATCAAGCTCAACCATAACTTTGTGATATCGTTTTCGTTGATAGAATGCAACGTATTTGGCGAGCGAATTATCAAATTAAGCAAATTAAGAGCAGCAGTGCTGAACCTGAGATACGGATACTTCTGTAAAGTGATACCTATGCACGTCATCAATTCCGGTATCATCTGGCGAAGCTGAACGCAACTAAATTTCCGTTGAGACTTGGAAGCAGCGGTGCGCTCCACATAAGAACGTAATAACTGAGTAACCATGCAAACGGCCAAGGTGGCTGGTAAACTATCACGCACTCCACGGGCGGTTTCCGCGTTTCTTTCATCAGCGTTTTTCTGCGCAACAACGCTTTCGATCACACCTGTTTTCTCATTTGTTTTTCTTTCGATTGCGATCTGCTGTTGGATCTGTTTTTCCAACAGGATAGCGGCTTCCTTTAGTTCCTCCAATTCACTTGCAGCGATCGTGCAGGATTGTGATAAAAGATATTCAAGGCTGACTGCATCCTCGCGTAAAGTGCTTTTCACGCAATGCACGCATCCAAGAAGCAAAGAGACAAGCGTTTGACGCAATGATTTCCCATAATTCCGATAAACTTGTACGATCTCTTGCATCAGTTGTGTTAATCCCGATTTAAAGATTCTGGAGTCATCGACGCACATTTGTTTCCAAGAGGTGATACATCGAAGCGACAACGAAGCTAGTAACATCGTTATTTTCCGATTGGATACGTCGCAACATTGCTTGATTCGTCCCAGTAATGATTCCAAAGAATGCTGAGTTATCAATTGTGCCTGGGACACGTTAATAGGATAATTCGCCGATATCCTTTCGTCAGTCAGTGTAACAATAAAATTGTACCACGATTCTAAATTTGTTTCATACGTATCTGTAACATTGGTATCTTTTTCGAAACTGTTCGATTTTCCGCTATCAGTCTGTATATCATCAAATATGTATATCGCGAATTTCTTCCAATAATCCTTCGACTTATCTAAAAATTTTTTCAAATTCACAATGAAATCATCTTCCAAAGTCGTGGTCTTGAACAGTTCCAAAGTAATTATATCCAACAGATGAGCGTAACCCTTCGTGTTTGGTACTAAATCTCTGAAGAGTGGTGCGAAGAGATGAGTCCAAAAGTTCTCACGTTTTCGAAAGAAGTTGACAAGAATTTCATTTCTGTAGTACCACATAGCTCGCAATAGTGCCATAGTGCTGTTGTACAATTTGTCGCGTACTATGTCCTCCTTATCGTAAATTCGATGCAGATACTTAACCAGAAACTGTCTACATCCTTCCGTAAAGAATTCCTCCACGGATCGTGGGAAAATTCGCTTGCATTCCGCCGGATGTACAATGTTAAATAGAGCTTCCGTCAGACCGGGTTGTCTTTCCAAGCACACGGTGACCAACTCGAGGATGGCAACTTTGACGTTCACGTTACAGGTCGGAGACATGAGACCTCTGCGAGAAGCAAAAGTCTCCCGTATTGCAGTACCATCCATGCCCATACAGACGAGAAGCGACATCGATGATCCTTCTGCAAATTTTTTTAACAATCTGACAGCCATTGCTTGCATAGGTGGACTAAACCAGACGTAAAGATAATTTACGATCGTGGGTACAATTAGGAGACCGTTTGGAACACGAGGCGAAGAATATAAGGCTGTTTCCAACGGTGATCTATCTCCAACGTCCAAACTCAATGATTTTCGGAATATTAATAATCTATTTACCACAGACAATGCTAGTTGTACGCTTCTAATTGCCTTAAATCCTTTTCCACGAATCCAGTCCGTCTCTGCCATCATTTTATTATGCAAAGTACGTTCACCAGTGCGAATTAACTTAAGTAAAGCGTGTCGTGGTTCTAGATATAACAAACTGTAGGCTACAACGAGCTGTAATTCGTTACGTATGTCTTCTTTGGGTAGATTAAATTGGAGTGCGTAGTGAAGGCAGAACATGCTTTTTAACCAGAGATCGGTTCTTTCGGCATCGGAATTGAAATACCAAGAATCCAATTTTGGCAAAACACCTTGCAACAGAAATACCATTCCGGGTATTTCTACAGTGTAGAGAGCTTCCTCATTATACTTTCCGATCAAATATTTCGATAAAATATCTAGATATGCGTTCAGAATTGGGTAAGTATGAGCGATCGTCTCAATGGCAGATAACCAGGATGCGATAATTCCACCGTCGAAGGAAATTGCTTCTGCAAAGTCTAATGGCTTCTGGTATCGATTGTTGAATCTCGGATATACGCCGGCACGCATTCGAGACAAAATTTCTTCTGGATATTCTAATACGAGTTCGGACGAAATGCTGATGCAATCTGCGACTACTTTGTAGATGTACATTTTTTCTTCAGGTAATACCGGATAAGAGAATCTATTTATAATTTCAAAACTCAATTCTGTAGGAATTACCATGCTCTGCCGAATTCCTACATAGTGGGCTAGCGTTTTTAGCAATTTCAAACCTCGCGAAACGTGTTCCGGTAAATTGATGTTCATTTCATCGATACTCATGGTTCCTCCGCCCGCTTGAGAGAAAAGCTGCTCTATCTTGTGATGTAAAACATCCCAATAACTCGCTCTTTGTCGGAATATCACCACTTCGCGTCCATTTGGTAATATTCGTACATTTTCACGCACACAATCTTCAGATATCGTGTACGTATTTTTGTGAATCGTACATTCTCTTTCATATGGTCTTAATGGTTTGTTGTAATTCCGCTGCCGCGATACTTCCAATTTTAACGATTTCAGATTATCCAATTCCTTAGCGATTTTCTCTGCACTACCTTTGCACGCGGTCGCCAATCCGATTGCAATGTTCGTCAGTGGTTCGAATTCATACGGATATTGTTCAGCTGCGAATTTATAAATCAACCATAGGCCATCGTCGCCTTCCTCCCAGAATCGTGCTGCCGTTTCAGGAAACTGAACTGTAGCAGCAACAGCATCGGAAATGCCGTTTAATACACTAAATTTATCTTCATCCACGAAGGCGCACACTAAAGTGAGCAGGTTGTAGGCGCTGCTTCGTACAACTTCGGCGTAATAAGTTTCTTCAGAGACCATTTCACTATTTAACAAATCTTCCAAATAATGAAAGACATCAAGAGCTATGGCTTTAATACCGAATGGTCTGAATCGATTTAAAGTGTCGATATTCTGAGAATCAATGGCATAGTTTGCCAACATCCAGGATAAAAATAGAAGACCGTCTTGAGGGAAATTGTCACGAATGCATTTCTGTTCGAAAGTTTCCTGCATACTATTTCTAACGTTCAGCATCCAGTCTTCCATGTTAATGCTGCAACAAACACTCTTTTACAATCAAAATTATCATCGACAGAAGACAAAACTACAAGAAACATACTGTTTTCTAACATCTAATGTCACTAAAAGCAATGCTGCCTGACTGTGCTGTATATCCTTAATCTTTTTGGCAATTGCCTTTTTATCTTCATGACTTTTCGTGCTTGCCAACCGTCTTGGTTCTCCCTGTACATATAGAATCATCAAATGAGATTCAAAAGTCACGAAATATGCTCAGAAATTATGTTTCCTGTAAAACTTACTCCTATACTTTCATAAAGCTTCATAAATTCAGTGTCTGCTATATGTATATCATTAATGATGACTGTCAATATATGGAGCAGTTCTCTCATTTCAATCAGACTGCTGTTATACAATCTGTGCAAATATTCTTCTGTGCATAGTTGAGATTTTGTAGGTGGATTCACTGTTTTTAACATTTCTATTTGTTTCCTAACAGACTCCAGTAATGTTCCAAATAAAACATCATCAAAGAACTTGGCAAATTCCTTTTGATATCGATGAGGTTTATCTTTGTACTCCACCATAAGTTTAAGGCATTTTATCAATGTCATTCTTTCAGAGTAGTAAAAGTTCCAGATATCATCGATCAACTCTTTTGTTGACGTGAAATCTATAAGTTGCGTTGCAAAAGTTTCTGCGCAATTACGATATTCGTATTTTATAAAATTACATACTAAATCCCATGTAATTGTAGCATCTAAATTCTGTAACGAATAATATAAATTTATCAGTTTATCATTTAAAACAAAAAGCAACGGATAGTGAAAACTGGTTGTTAATACGTACTAGAAGCGGAGCTAGTTTACTGATCAATTCGAATATTCGAGGTGAGGGATCATTTTTGGGTATGTTTTCTAACGACGCTTCAGTGTATGGTTTAAAAAATAATAATCCCTCCTTGAAAAGTTTCGTTTCTTTCTTAATTTCATCTTCAACTAACTGCTTTTCACATCGACATACAGTGTCGGATATTAAAAACCATAACTCTTTACAGTAACTGCATGCCATGTGATTTTAATATAATGGTATACATAGCACAGAAAAGATCATTTATTAAAAAAATTGGAGAGGAAAATTTTTATTACTACATCCAAATAATTATTTTTTACTCACGGTAAACATTCTACATTAGGTACTTCCATTTTCATTACATTAGGGTAAACAAATAAGAAATAAATTATAAATCTCTCGCGAGATAATCAGCTCAGTATATTATCGCAGTTGAACATTATTATTTTCAGTGAACAATTATTTAAATATAATATTGTAACATAACTCTAACCTGTACATTGCTCAGATACAATAACAATATACATTTACCGCGCGCAACAGAAGCGATGGAGCTGTGTTCACGTTGGTTCACATTTACCATTCAGAGGTCATGATTGCAACAATATGTAACGAAAATCTATTTTATAAGAAGTGGAGGTAAACTAGAGATTTTAGTAAAGTTTATGTTGGCTATTCTGGTGGACTTTTCCCGCCAAGAGTAGTCGCGTTCTTTACGATTTTGTAGGGATTGACGAGGAATATTTTCTCTGGAAATTATGTTTTTTGACACTAGAATTTATTATTTTAATTGACAAAAGCTTATATTCATGGTACGCATATAAGTAGCCTTCATTGTTCTATCCAATTCACTCATTTTTTAAACAACTATAGCATAACGTACTAAACAATGTCTTGTTTACTACGGACACGTGCATAATCCAAAAAATTACAAATAAAAGAAAAGAAGGCAGGTTTTATAATTTCTTGAGTTAAATGTACAAGAAATTCTCTAAATCATTCATTCTGCGACAACTAAAGATGCGTTTACGTACAGGATTACACAAAAGTAAGTTCTATTAGTACATCTTCATAATTTTCTTATAAACAATGGATCCCAAGTCGTCAAGACAAAAACGGTGCACATCTTATTTAAGACAATAACGTGAGAGACGAGAAAGCGCGGGAATCAAATTCAAAATGCATCCGATGAAAACCATAAATTCTTCGTTTGAATACGGTTGAAATTATGGAGCTCGATATCGATATTCTTTACACGACAGTTGTGAACGAACACACGAAATTGTTCCGATATATTTGACATGCAATAGTGACAGGACAAGAGATGACTCGCGAAGAAAGCAGTGTTAGGTTTATCAGTGCGCCGACGCGAGGCGTTATAGCGGCTAACGACACGGCGTCGCGACGCCGACTGTCAGACCAGTGCACGTTTGTCGGGAACATTGAGCGCATCGAGTTGTTATCGTTCTCGTTGAAGAACATTTTGTCCGGTTGTGCACGATGTTGTTGTCGATCATAGCGTGAGTGAAAAAAGAAAACTGCGAGTCTCTCGGAACAACTATGCCATCTGCTATGTATCATTCTAGTAAATACGCTAATCAATCACAATTACAATTATCTTTTTAACGGCCGCGTTCAATGATAAAACTTATTTTCCGTGTGTCGCATCTTGTCTGCATTCACCTCGTCTTCTTTAAAACGCACTTTGTTATCAATAAATAACGGACGTGTAGTTGAACTCGCGGATCGTACCGCGTGCTTGCGCCGCGTGCTGTCAGAATTTTCCAGTTACGAAATTCTCTTTGATTCTTGCGATGTCTGTAGCGATTTCGTGAATTTCAAATCGAAGACTGTGCCGAAAGGTTCAATAACACGGATCAGAGCCGTAGACAAACATAAAACGCGAAATCCGTCGGGGAACGAAACGTAATAGCGAACAGGTTCGCTCGGTAGCAAACAACTTCGAGAATATTTCATCTCGAGCTGCTCCCCGGTCGTGTGTGCCTCTATAATGTATGTACGACGCGATTCTTGTTACGGTGGATGTATCCGTCGGGAAATACATCCACGCGAACGCCAAGTATTATCCAACGCATACATAAATGGTGCACGTTAAAAGTATTTTCGTATTTGATTCAACCCTTGAAATTGACAGCACTGCATCGCGTATGTATGTACAATTAAAAGCGAATATATGGTTTTTGAAGCGCAGTATTTATCCCGCGAGTTTTAGGAATGTGTTGTATATAAATTAGAGTACGATATGGAAGATATAAAATACTAGTATATGTGCTTGATGTCAGGACATCATAGAGATAGATTATATGCTTTCACCTTTTGAAGACGTATGCTCATCTATGATCTATCATGCATGCATTGCTCCAATTCGTGCTTTAGCACACCGATTAAAGCTATCTGTCGAGTATTTACATATATGTATCTATTAATTTATCTAATTCTATATTGATCCATATCTTTCGATAGTCTTGGTCTCTATAATTACTCGAATACAAGTTTGTTTGCTTATTTTTTATGCATTTTCGATTACAACGTTTATGAATAAACCGGGGTACGTAAAATACGTGTTCGTGAGTCCAATCACGAATTTAAATCGAGCGGCATAGAATGGTTGTTCTTATTTTGGTAATATTATAATTAGAGAAATTTAACAGTGCAGTTGGCAAAACTAATATAGGAGCCGTAGGAAAAGCATTGTTCAATCCGAGAATGTAAACAAATCCTCGGAGCGGTATTGCTGTGCGTATGTAATACGAATTTCGGTCGAGCATATGCCAAAACAACATTATAAAACGTACAACTACGTCGGTACTTTGTTGTACTATTTACCTCCTCATATCAGACAATATTTTTTCTGCGAGGGCTTACAATTTACGATTGGGACATAAACGACGTTCGCGCGGAGCGTGTTAAGTCGAGCGAAACCTTAATCGCGACAAGCGTTAACGGTGGAGTCACGTGTTTAGGTGTGCGGTTGATGAGTCGGAGGTGAGACGCGCGTCCCGTCAGATCGCTTCACGATGAACTGAACGATTTCTCCCCGCGATTACGAAGGGAAGAACGTTCTCGACTCGAGTCTCGTGAAAAAGACGGACGAGAAAAATAAGAGAGGCGGGTGAAAACAACATGAGGGCCTCGTTGCTGCTGCTGAGTGGTATCGTAGTGTTTTCGATCGCGGTCGCAACAGCTCTTTCCTGTGTGTGCTCGCCCTTCGATTGTGACATTCTCACGGACGAGGACTGCCCCGGAGGTCTCACCTGGGACCCCTGCAGGTAAGCCACGCGCCAATTCTCCTTCTCTTTTGTCTTTTTTCTACCCGGGAAGAAGTAGTTACAAGTTACAATCGACTCGTTCCGCTCGACGTTCTCCTAATGAGCATTCTCCCCTTCTTTTTTCATTGCCGAGAATGTGTTAGGAATTACTTCAAACGAACGTCGTAAAAGTTAGATTATCAGAAGATTGATTAACGAGAGCGTCGAGACTATTGGAATATTGATTAACCGATTTTCCGTACCGAGGATTCGATTATCGGAGCAACGATTAAATCAACATTATTGTATAATAAATGAGGAATTTAACCTCCCTCATTTCGTGCATTCTTTTTCACGTACCAATAAGTGTACGTTGAAAGGCATACATTGTCCTTGCGTCGCTAACAAAACAATTGAGCTCGAAACTTTTCGTTTATATTTCGCATGTTTTATTTTTGTTTCCCCCCTTTCGTTGCCGATCGATGTCGCAGTGATGAATTTTCCCTCTCTTCCTCGCTTTTCTTTTGCTATCTGTATTCCATATTTTTTCTCGTTCATCTCCGTATTGCTATGAAGAAATTACGCGCAATTAGACTCTATGATATCTAGAATAAAGGTTCTTGTCCTCGTTTTCATGAAGAGCAAAAATTTCTGTTCTTTGTTGCGCAACGTTCTTTGTCCGAGAGCTGCTAGCGGATTTTATTCTCGGTATTAACGGGCGCGCCGCCGATGAAAAATAGGGTTGATAAAGCTGAATGTCTGAATATTCAAACCAGGAAGGAACAAAAGCGACGGTCATTGAAGTTTTATGCCTTTTTTGTTCGCACGTGCGATCGAATAGCCACCTGCATCGATTGCATTTTTCCCCGTGCTTTAAATTCGGTACCTGTCCCTTCCAATTTATCAGTACTCGATGAACCCATTGAAACCCAGGTTAATTTGTCCCAAAACATGACACGGGAAACGTTCCGTTCTTACTATTGCCAAATTGAAATTTTCCCGTAATTGGAAATTAAATTCGAAACCTATCAATCGGTCGATTCATAGTGAACCGTCAATTTCGTCGTGCTAGGCGAAAGATCAGAAACATTTTTGAGTTCTATTTCTGTTTAATATCTGCGATTCTGTTTCTGAAGAAATACCTCTGACATTGGAATTTAATTATCTAAATATGTTCCCAGTTAACAAAGCTCAGTTTATAACCGACGTTTCCGATGTTCCGAGGTGCTGAAATATCGTTTTATCNTGTTGACAAAAGAATCGATGAAAGTGCAAACGGTCAACTGTATGAATGTGTGTATGTTGTGTATTAAGAGCAATTGCACGTGGGGCAATTGTTCTACGGATCATGTGTACGATCGCATTAATCGGCATCGAGCCGTCGTAATGAAAATCAGAGTGGTTACACGAAGTAACCACTCACGGGTCATAAGTGATTATGACCGCGTCCCTCAATATCGAATTGAGACAATGCATAAGTAGAGTGGTTACATGGAGTAACCAATTCACGGGTCGTAAATAATTACAACCGCGTCATTCAGTATGAAACTGAGAACCTGTGAAGGTAGAGCGGCTACACGGGTAGCCACTCACGGGTCGTATGTAGATACGACCGCGTTTGATGAAATTATTCGGGATTGACCGATCCCGCACTCGCGAACGCACTATGACACCGTTTACGATCCGAACTGCACCGATTCCTCGAGACGACTGATTCAAAATTATATAGTGATCGGCTGAGAACACCCGCACGAGAGGGGAAAATGTTTAAACAAAATACTCGCCATGAAAGGCAAAGAAAACTGTTGAGTTATTTACGACCGCACGTGTTTACGTTAAGACCGATACGAGAAGACATTAACAGACAAAGACCCTGCCCCGGCTCGTATCTCGAGGCATAGGGCTATTCCCGGTGGTCTACGGCCCGAACCACTTGAAACGAAAAAATCCTTCGGTCGCGGTTAAATGGTTACTTCCGCGAACGAACACTGTGTATTATAGAAAGATTATATTAAATTAAATCAGGTTGCAATACAACGAAGAAAATAACTAGTTGCGAATTATTTATTATAAGGATCATCTTTGTTATATCTTCGTATTTGAAGCTCGTTGCTAACGTTTGTATGTGAATATTTCTCAGCGTTCCGGATTGAGCACCAGTATGTGCAGGGGGTAGCGTGCCAGTAAACGAGTTATATCCAAGAGAAGGTTCGCAGTACTCGTAGATTTCGCATTGAGTAAACATTTTACGATCCACGAATCTTTATTCCGGAAGCAAATTTGACTTTCATCGCGCGATCGACGATATCGAAGCCTGAGCAGATTGAAAAAAATGAATTATCCTTGTTCCATCGCATCATTTTTTAACATAAGCTTTTAAATTGTTGTTCTGTCATAGTTTATGTCACTTATTAATCCCAGATCTCTTTTAGAGAAAGTTCTCGCTCTAGAAATAACTGTAGTCATGATAAGTCCCAGTGAACGATGGTACGTATCCAACTGTTTGCAGAGGTTTCGTGCCATACAAGCACAACGCATCGCGCGATTTCCTTCTCGCGTGGTTAAAACAATTTTATCCAGTTCCATGCGATGCCACGAATAATTTAATCGCTAACGGCCTTACGGAATCGTCGAAACGCATTCAAAGCTTTGAGAATCGCGGTGAACCTGCCCCCTTCTCATGAGTTCTAACTTGAAAAAGCTCGTGTACGTTTCACTGTGCGATGTATTATCCGTACAGACACGCGAGTTACCGTTTCAGCCGATGAAAATTTCTTCCTTTTTCTTGAATATTCACGCGCATAAAATACGTACGCGCTTTGCCGATATTTCAGTGGGATCTTTTGAGCGAATTTGTAACGTGCAAGGAATTTATTGGAAAATATTTAGCGTGCATCGCGCGTTATTGTCGGATCTGTTATTTCAAACCATCCGAATTCAATTGCACGTTCCACCGTCTTCCTGGCGTATGTGTGCATGCAAATTAAGCTATACAACGTACCGGAACTTCAGTTGATAAAAGATATTGTTGAAAACCTGTACTTATACATATAGGAGAATATATTTCATCAAACGATCCTCCGAACATGAAATTCATCATACTTCCGTTAAACACAGCGATGCTTGTCATAAATTACTCATGAAATACATGAAAAAGTGTCTTAATTAATTTTATGCAAATTAATTTAATTCACAAGAGACACATTTTAATATGTCGTCTATGCAGAATTTATTACCGAACTACCGCAAGTACAAAAATGTCCCTAATGAATAGAAGAATGCAATATAAGAGGATTGATCAATTTGGCAATAAGACGGAGTAGTAAAAATGTTACTCGTAGTCGGAAACTTTTTGTGCAACTCTTTTTCCTCCTTTTTTATCTCCGCTTCGTGCTTACCGTCATTTCAACCAGTTTTTCTGAACGTTATCTTTGGATGACCGATATAAACCGAGCCGAGTCTCGTTTCCCTTACGGTGGTTTTATTACGTTTAAATTCACTTCCCTAAGGACAACGAATACGCTATACCTACGCGAGGAGTGTATCTTGACTCGTGATTTTATAAATTCGTGGAAGCCAACAACGTTTCCCAGTCATTTTCCGGTACAGCGTTATACTGTTTACGGGCGCGTACCGCCGCAGCAGTAAAAACAAAAATTTCAAGCACCTTTGAAATATTCACGAATGTTTCTGTAACTATTATATTCTCCGCAGATGTTGCAGAGTATGCGCTCGCGTTGAGGGTGAACCGTGCGGTGGCCTCTTCGGTTTTTCCGGAAGCTGCGCCGATGGTTTGCAATGCGTCATCAAGAATCTGCTGCCCAATACCCGCGAGTTGGACGAGGGAATCTGTACGAGTGAGTGGAAACGACATTTTACGATTCATTAACCATTAATCTGACCGTTCCTTACTGTGTAAAGGCGGGTTGTTCGTAATTGTCGATAAATCGAGATAGTCGTGTCATTAATTTGGTAATATGCGAGTCTTCTCGCGAGTCATGATTAATATTGTATGAGGCGTTATGGAACTTTTAACGATCAATTTTATTCGAAATGCGTGCTCATTTTGAACATACAGCAGCGTAATGGTACTATAAGTACAATATAATTTGACATAAACGGCGCCGCATCGATTGTTTCGTAATGACGTTCGCGCTTGACGAATGCTTTTAACTCGTTCGTGCATTTTTCTTCTTTTTTTAACACTCTTGATTTGCATCAAAGATGGATGAGAAACCGTGATTCAGGAGAAATTATTAACAAATGTTTATGGATTTTCGTGAGTTACGACTTGATTTGAGAGTATCTTTTTAGCAGTTTTGGTACAAGTTTTTGTCTGACGTCTTACGCAGTAAAAACAGTCGAAAGGAATATTCAGGCTAGACTCGAGGGATGTTTCGGATTTCTTAGCAGATTTGTATTTAATAATCGATTTGTTCCGCACATTCACGAATGTTCGGTATACGTACACACAATTGCGAAGCTTTATCTCGTTTCCCGGGAACTCCAGCCACCCAGTCATCTTTTCCCTTGACTTTTCCTCTTATTTCTTCTCCTAAGCTTCGACCTACAGCCCCTTCTTTGAAACTTCTTAACACTTTGAACAAGTCTTTGCCCGTAACCGTGCCAGATCCGACGGGGGAAACGAACGAAGAAGAGACGCGGCCGCGAATTTAATTGAACAATTTTTCCGCTGCAACGCTCCGACTAGTTATTACTTTGCCTCTTGCGTGGAAAAAGCCGCGATGATAAAGGAAAACTTCGAGAGAAAGAAAGTCTTGCATTTTATTTTTACCGAGGCTGAGGAAAAAATTTCAACAAAGTTGTTCATTATAATTGCAAGATATTGAAAATGAGAATGGAATTTTTATGATTTCCATATTTCATATTCAAACAATTTCATTTCTTAAATATATCTATAATATCGTACAATATTGCTAGTGATTGTATCCTAGTCCTTAGAGGGTTTAATCATTACTCGAAACAATTTCTTTAATTTCGCGTTGAAACGATATTTTCTACCGCGTATCTCCCGCACTTTTTCAACGGGCAATCTGTGAAACAACGAGGACAAAGTATGACAATCTGTTTAGTATTCTGAGTTTTATTAACACTAGCATGAGTGAGCGTAAACGTGGTTGCCTTTGTACGTGGCATCGAGCCAACACCGGGGAGCAGTGACTAGAATGTGTTTTTTTTCGTCGGTACCTGAATGAGTAAGCTTCTCAATAAGATGCATCATCGATTGTATCGATTCATAGTATTCTTTGAAATGCATTTCTTTTCACGTTTGATATTTAAATATCGATTACCTTTCTTCGTAGCTATTTGGTTCTCGTGCTTATTATACGTTTGCGTGGAAATGATTATCGTTTCACACGTCCGTTCCTCTTGCCCGAATCTTTATTGGTACATAATAGAGAGCTAAAGCCGGCAGATTATCCGGTAAACTATGACAGGATCGATTGGGTGTGAAATCAGAGATTTTCAATTTGAAAGCGGCGATAGTTGGAAAACTCGTTGAAAAGAGTTTTTCTTGCCCGCCGGTGAAAGAAAATAAAAGAGCAGTTCTACCCGAAATCTCTTTTCTTACGGTTGAACATTCTTGAGATTCGCGATCCAAGGGCTCATGGACGCTTCGATACTAATTACTTGCACCATCTTCTCTCGTTATTATCTTAAAGTGGCAGCTAATTGAATTACCGTGATTCAATTTCCTCGCGCTGGGAATCGCGACTATCTTCCTCCCCCTTTTGTATTTGAGAATGTCGGGCCCTGGGAAAATAGTGTTAATCTCATCATGCTCGTTCTTTTTACAATACTTTTTACGCGATGGAACATACCTACATTGTTTAAAAATCATATTTTAAATATTTCTTCATCCAACAATTAATTTGCTTAAAAGCTGTGGACTTTGAATATTATTTTAGATCGCAGTGTAAACGCTTGATAAGTCTGTAAGCCATAAAAGGGAATGATAACGTAAAAGCGTTAATTGAAACAAGGACATGATTGGATAAATTCGAGAAAATTAAAAATGATTTGGATAGTTAAAACATGATATCAAGTTAACAAAGATTTATATAAAACTGAATAGATAATTATAATAAAAATAAAATTGCTCAGTAGAGGAAAATATATTTAATTTATTGAACCATAATTGTATTAATATTTTCCCATTTAATATAGAACGTTTCGCTGTTAAAAATCGCTCTCTTACTAAATTGATTTATCAAATTTCCCTCTTTTGTTTTTCAGTTCGAATTTAGTCTATTCAGAATAGATAATTATAATAAAAATAAAATTGCTCAGTAGAGGAAAATATATTTAATTTATTGAACCATAATTGTATTAATATTTTCCCATTTAATATAGAACGTTTCGCTGTTAAAAATCGCTCTCTTACTAAATTGATTTATCAAATTTCCCTCTTTTGTTTTTCAGTTCGAATTTAGTCTATTCAGTTCGAATTTTTAATTCGAACCCGTATGATATATCATTCTATTACGTGTTTTAATTTTCTTTTTTAATCAATTAATTCGTTAATAATTGAGCCACAGATATTTGTACGCAAATAAAAGTGGAAAAAGAAGTGAAGGAAATCTCTTTAAATGCATATATGCATTTATAAAAATCTAGAATTTGATTAAGAGACTGCTGTTTCTTTTTTTTAAGCAGAATATCTAATGAAAATAGAGTTTCTTCGTCTTCATCGTTGCATGGTTTTTCTCTTTGCCGAGGAAAATGAATCAATTTCCGCGAGAACGTGTACATCTGCTTTAATTTTCTAATATAATATCGTGGAAGAAGTTGTATATTAATTTCCGCGAAAATTCAGTCAACTGGCATTGTTGGAAATGTTGGTTGGAAAACGTTTAAGGAACTGCGCGCATACATACACACACAAGCGCATGTTCGCGAGTGTGCATACCAGTCCGTTGAATTTAAACCAATGCATATGCACTAGTACTTGACGTGGAAGCTGGGGTACTCAGTATTCATGGAATATCGTTGCTCGAACGCAAGAGGTCGTGACGAAGGGAAGGTGGAAGGAAGCGGAGACGAACAAATTAGTTTAGGTCGCTCATATTTACATTACCGTGTCTCCATTAAAAAATCTTTTCTACGGTCAACCCACGCATCATGTACGTAATTATCGAACGTGCTTATGTATTTGTATGCATACATAATAAGTTTTCTTACAAGCTCGCTCTATAATATCCTTTCTCTGTGTATTCAGAGAAATATGTAGAACAATCGATAATAGTCGCAACCGAGGTATTCCAATTTCAGACCGGTTAAGCGAATGAAAACGTAAGAGATGAAAATCATGGTTCGTGTCACGGGTGGCATGGAATAATCTGTTATCGTGGCGCAAAAAAATTATTACAACGTAGCAAATGCGGTTAAGATTGCCTGGCACGTAACAATAATACATAGTATATGTAAGTACATGCTATTCGTTTTTTCCACGTTATTGTGTCCAACTCAATGTAAATGAGTAAGCGAGAATATTATTCAGAGAAAAAAAATTGATCATAGTTTTAGTTTCTAAGAATACATTATAATAGTGTCAATTTGGACATTTATTGAAATATTTTGTATTGTGTTCAATAATTTCATATCTTTTCACTTGCTAAAAACTGAATCGCAACGTAGTGCTGAAAAGTTAATGTGTTGCATTCTTAATAATTAAAAGCATTTAAAAATAAAGCTGTGCAAGTAGTTAAAATTTAAACGGGAAACTTAAAACTACTATTAAATTCTCATGAATTCAATTTAACACGCGTGTTTATAAAATTAATAATACGTAAATACATTTACTTGAACTCTCACGAGAAATTTTACGCATAAAGTATCCGAGTTTCATTTCTATTTTCAGTGAAATTTTTTCAGCTTCAATAAAACTTTCCAGTAAAACTTTCTGCCTTCAATAAAAGATCTCGTACTCTTAATTATGTACTTTTTTTTTATCATACTTTCTACGTTTTATCGTTGAGTTTCACGCATAGGGGGCAAATGAATGACTTACAATTACAATAACTTGTTGTTTAATGATTTAATTGAAACGTAACGATAGAGATTATTAAATGAATTTATCTTTAAATTTTAACAAATTAAAATACATTTTTGTCTGACTTCATAATAAAACCAACGATTGGTCGACAATTTTAAATATTTAATATTGACTCCTCTATATGGGCGACGTACACATGCAGCGAGGACACGCAACAGTGATGCGATACGAAGATATGACACACTAAACTTAAGGGTAGTGCAATCGAGTTCAATATGTAGCACTTTGCGACCGAGAAAGCGATGCGGTCATGCAGATATGCAAGTTGTATTTATCGAAAACGTGGCCCGACGCAGATAGTATTACGGTCAATATTTCACCGCAAAACTCGCACGGATGTGCATAATTTAATTTTTAATCGTAAACCCGCACCGAAAGGAAGAAAGCGAACTACCGTCACGTCGTTTACTTAACGGGCACGCTGCGCGACCAAGGAACGTGTCCCTTCTTCCTCCGTGTTACCAAAGATTTACGAGTAACGTAGAACACGGACCACGGGGAGCATCTGCGTACACTGTCGTTCAAAAGTTTCCGGAAACACATCTTTCGTTAATTACATTAATAAAATTCCAGATTTATTTAAATCTATTTAATTTAAGTAAACTTTTCGCTAAATCTTACTGCATAAAACATTTTGCTATTTAGCTAGGTCACATTAATACCGTTTAAACCTTTCGAGCAACGTAGCCGGTTTATGATTAAAAATTCTAGTTACATTAAGCAAAGAGTGCTTGAAACTCTCGTTCTAAAAAGCATTTCGGATAGATGTTTTACTTTCGT